AAGGGAAAGTTGAGATCCCCCACTAGTATTGTTTTATTGTCTGTTTCTTCCTGTAACTCATTCATCTTCTCCTTCAAAAATTTAGATGCTATGCTATGTGATGCATATATGTTTAGTATTGATATGATTTCATTGTCTATGGTACCTTTCATCAAGATATAGTTTCCTTCTTTATCTGCTTTAATTAGATCTATTTTTCCTTTTGCTTTGTCTGAGATCATGATTGCTGCCTCTGCTTTCTTTGCTTCAGCTGAAGCATAATAATTCTGCTTCAGGCCCTTACCTTTACCTTGTGTGTATCTCTCTGCTTCAGATGTGTTTCTTGTAAACAACATTTGTAGACTTCTGTTTTTCAATCCATTCTGCTATCCACTTGCATTTGGTGGGTCATCCCACTCACATTTATAATTATGATAACTGTGTATTTCCCTCCATGCCATTTTTCACTTCTTTATCCCCCTCTCTCTTACATCCCACCCTTTCTGTCCTTACAAGTGTTTTATTTCTGATTCTGTCTTCCCCAGTATACCCTCACTTTTACCACTTCCCTCTCTCCCTTTCATTATCCCCATCTCTTTTTGCTTCTTTATAGAGCATGACAGATTTCTATATACGACTGAGTTTGTATGTTATTCTTCGATGAGCCAATTTTGATGAGAGTAAGGTTTAAGCTTTGCCTGCCAACCCCCCACCCACATTCTCCTCTCTGTATAATAGCTCTTTCAAGCTTCTTTTACGTGGGATAATTTACCCTATTCAATTTACCCTTCCTTCTTCCAGTGCAATTTTCTTTCTCATCCTTTTATTTTGTTTTTGGGGGTATCATCCCATCAAAGTCACATTATATCCACACCCTCTGTCTACATATATTCCTTCTAATTGCTCTTATAATAATAAAGTTGCTAAGGTACAAATATTATCTTGCCATACAGAAATATAAGCAGTTTAACCTTATTTAATTTCTTATGTTTTCTCCTTCTTGTTTCTTTACCTTTTTATGTTTCCCTTGAATCTTGTATTTGGAGGTCAAATTTTTATTCAACTGTGGTCTTTTAATTAGAAATGGTTGAAAGTCTTCTATTTTGTTAAATGTCCATTTTCCCCCTGAATGTTTATATTCAGTTTTGCTGGGTAAGTGATTCTTGGATGTAATCCTAACTCCATTGCTTTCCAGTATATCATATTCCAAGCCCTCCAGTTCTTTAATGTGGAAGCTGACAAATCCTGTGTAATCCTGACAGTAGCTCCATGATGTTTGAATTATTTCTCTTTGGCTGCTTGCAATATTTTCTCTTTGATCTACAAGCTCTGGAATTTGGCTATGATGTTCCTGGGAGCTTTCATTTTGGGATCCCTTTTAGGTGGTGATTGATGAATCCTTTCAATTTCTATTTTGCCCTCTGGTTCTAATATATCAGGGCAGTTTTCTTTGATATTTTCTTAAAAGATGTTGTCCAGGCTTCTTTTTTATCATGGCTTTCAGGTGGTCTAATAATTTTTATATTACCACTCTTGAATCTATTTTCTAGATCAATTCTTTTTCCAGAGAAAAATTTTACATTTTCCTCTATTTACTTTTTTAAATTTTGTTTTATTGTATCTTGATGTCTCATAGAGTCATTAGTTTCCACTTGTTCAATTCTAAGTTTTAAAGAATTATATTCTTTAATGAGCTTTTGTACTTCCTTTTCCATTTGGCCAGTTCTATTTTTCTAGGGAATTGTTTTCTCAGTAAAGTTTTGTGTATCTTTTCCCATGCTGTTGACTCTTTTTTCATGATCTTCTTGAATTATTCATTTCTTTTCCCAATTTTTCTTCTACTTCTCTAATTTGCTTTTTAAAATCCTTTTTAAGCTTGTTCAAGAATTCTTTTTGGGCATGAAACCAAATTACATTTTTCTTTGAGGCTTCTTACATAGCCATTTTGACACTATTGTCCTCTTCTAAGCTTATACCTTGATCTTCACTATCACCACAGTAACTTTCTATAGTCAAGCCTTTTTTTTTTTGTGATTTGGTGTTTTTATGTGAGAGTTGGGCTTTGGTCCTGCACTGTTCCAACCTTTTTGTGCTGGGGCTCTGGGCCTTACTGTTGCCTTTCACTGCTTGCTTAAGGCTTAACTGATTGCTTCCTCTGGAGGGTAGGCTTCCCTTCTGTCTTGTACTGGGGGGTGTCCCATTGGCCTCCCCTGGGTGTGGGGTTTAGCTGCTGGCCTGCTCCAGGAGTGGAGCCTTGCTCCTGGGTTGCTAGAGTAACAGTCTTTCTGATGGCTGACCCATGAGGAGGGATCTTTTGCTGATCTGCCTGAGGGGTGAGGCCCTGCTGCTGGGTTGCTATGGAAATAGAGTCTCTCTACTGGTAGACCACAGGGATGGGGGTCTCTCTATTGGCCAGTCCCAGGTCAGGGCTTTACTACTGGTCAGCAATGTGGTCCAAGCTTTGATGGTGGCTTGTGCTGGGGGTGGCATTGCTGGGGTGGGTTGGCTTGCTGTGTTACACAGACTGCTCACTTGCCTGAGGGGGTCTGCTGGTTTGCAGGAGGGCGAGGCCTCATTGGTGGATTGCCCCAGGCCTGGAGCCTTGCTGCAGGTCCCCTGCTAGCTGCTGCTGCTGCTCTTGGACCTCACTCCCCTCCCACCATAGTGAGACAGATCTTTCCTGCAGTGCTGGCAAGCTGCTTCCCTGCTCCTAGACCAATTTTGAGGCAGTTTTCTAGTTGTTTGGAGGGGAATTTGAGAGGGCTTCAGAGGGCTTCAGAGGGTTCCTTCCTCACTCCACTATCTCAGCACCAGAAGTTGGCAAATATTCTAAGAGGTAGAGATGGGGGAATGAATGCATCACAAGCCTGAGATGACAGCTTGTGTGATTTCACGCCAGTGGGAGATGAAATGGAAGTTCAAGTCAGGTCCATTGAGTAAGCCCTAATAAGCTCCTCCTATGTGTCAGGCAAGGGATTTGGGGGGAACAGTTTAAACTGTCCAGTTTGGCTGGAATGTAAAGGAAGTGGTATGTGAAGACCAGACCAGGAAAGACCTTAAAGGTGGTACTTGTATTTCACCTGACATATTCTAGTGAGCCTGGAAGTGAGTGACATCAGACCTGTGCTATGGAAGGCTGCAGCCATGAGACCCAGACCCTCTGAGATGATCACAAATGCCCAGCTTCTCAAGATCACTGAATGGTCCCAGCTAGAACAGCAGGGCCAGGTGGCCATAACATGCCTGAGATGCTATAGCTGCAGGATCCCAGGGCAAAACTAATCTCTGGCTATAAAATCAGGCAATTAAAATGTTCAACAATCGGCTGCTCCTCCCCTGTCTGCCACTACTTCGCTCCTCTGATAGGCAAATGATACCATACGGCTGATTTCAAAATGACAACATATTCCCCATTGGCCATTATTCTAAACACACAGTTAGTTAAGAAGAAGGAAAAAAAAAGCCACGTTCCCTCATGTTATGACAGTAAAAATAGCTCACATAGAAGAGTCTTTAAAATTTGCAAAGCACGGTATCTCCTTTGATCCTCACAACAAGTCTGTGAGGTAGGTGAGGTATCCCCATTTTAGAGATGAGGAAACTGAGCCTCAGACAGGTTAAGTCATTGGCCCAGGACCACATAACTGAGAAATGTCTTAGATGGAATTTGAACCCAGGCCTTTCTGATTCTAGGTCTTGGGCTCTATCCACTACTCCATGATTTGAAAAACACATACCACCCCTCAACAGCTCACTTTTAAAAGCTTTGTGAAATACCTTTTAAAGTTTCATGTCCTTTGGGGAAATGCAATCTTTTAGAATGAGATTCCTGGCAAGTGGTAATGAATTAGGAAGAAAGACAGCAGCCATGAGAACAGAAACAGTTAGATATCAAAGAAAACTCAGGTGATAATGGGGTAAGACCCAGAAAGTAGGCTACATGAAAGCTAGCATCCTATCACTTCCACTCTCTGTGCCTCAGTTTCATTATCTGGGAAATAAATGAGGGGGTTAGACTAGGGAACCTCTAAGGTCCCTTCCAATTCTAAATCTGAACTCTGTTAACTGACTGAAATAATCCTGTTTTTCCTGATTGGAAAAAGGGAAGGGGTCAAGGAGCTAATGATAAGTGGCTCCAAAAGTTGGGTGTTAGAATCAGGGGACCCGAGAGCTAGAAGAGACCTTAGAGATTTTCTAGTCCAATCCCTTCATTTTACAGAGGAAGAGACTGAGCTCCAAGGAACGGAAGCAACTCGCTCATGCCCAGATCGGAAGTGGCATAATCAGGATTCGAATACAGCTCTGTCTTTCTGCTGTGCTACACTGCTGTGACATCAGCTCCAACCTTCTCCAGTCATATCCAGCTCCCTTCTCTATAAACAGGGTCACAGTGAAGCCAGAGACACATGGATTGTGCCAGGTGGGCAAGGACTCAGGATGGCCAAGAAGAAAGCCCTCTTGGGTCATTCCAATATGTCCCAACTCCTAGTAGGCATTTTATAAATGCTTGTTGATTGTTTAAATGATCTAGGCCAACTCTGACCTTTTCCAGAGAAGAAAACTATACTCCCCCTGTTCCTCCTCCCACAAATCCACTTGGCCTCTTTACAGAGGTTGCCCAGCTCTGGGTTCAATGGCAAAGGCTGATTTGTCTGTCTAGTGCCTTCCATTTCAGAGGCTGTGAGTCTGCTAATGGGACCCCCGCCCTGATCCTCTCCATTCCCCTCTTGGCACTTTACTTAGCAGGAGCAGCCCCTCCTAATGGTGGTACCTTCAGACTCCATTTCTCCTTGAAAATATCCTTCCCCAATCCCAGGCACCCCTGAATGCAAACAAGGCAGCAACACCTTCTGGCCTCCTGGGACCATCAGATGTTCAGGAAGTTATCCCATCAGAGCAGGAAAAGATGGCCAACACCCACCAGCATTAACAAAGAGGAGCAACTCCAGGGGGCTTACTAGACAAGCTGACGCTGTATTTGTAATGTGCACCTGGGAGCAGGAAAAAGGTAAGGAGCCAAAGAACAGAAAATAGTTATATCTGAAATGACAAGAAACGGGATACATTCTCTACTCAATAACATCTAACGCTACGGAGATACAGTAACACAGCCTTCGACATCTCGTTAGGAAAGTGGCGTGGGCTTCTTCAGGTGCTGCCTCATCTTTATGCCTTGCAACTTTTCATCTTTTAATGCCTTCAGGAATTTATCTGCAAAAGAAGGAAACATGGTCAGCCAGTTGGGCTGGCTTCAAGCCCTGGGGATCAAAAACACTTATTGCCTCAGAGTTTACTTCTGTGGAATGAGTCTGTTGTTGCAAATCATGGGATCATAGGGTTTAATTCAATTCAACAAGAGCCACAGATTTATGTACAGGGCGCTGTCCCAAGATCATAGCTTTAAAGCTGGAAGGGATCTTATGACATAATAATAGTAATGGCTAACATTTAGATAACACTATAAGGTTTGCAAAGCCCTTTACAAATATTAGCTTACACAACCCACAGTGGGAAGGTGCTATTATTATCCCCATTTTCCAGATGAGGAAACTGAGGTAGACAGAGTTTCAGTGGCTTGCCCAGGGTTAAATAGCTAGTAAGTGTCTGAGGAAGGATTTGAACTCAGGTCTGTCTAACTCCAGATCCATCACTCTATCTACTGTGCCACCTACCTGCCTGAGCTACTAATGCCTCTGCCACTAAGCTGACCTTAGAGGTCATCTAGTCCACCCTCTTCATTTTACAGATGAGGAAACTGAGGCCCAAGGAGAAAAGTCACAAAGGGTCACCCCAGGTCCTCTGATTCCAAATCCAGCCCCGTATGAGTTATAAACAAAAAATTTTCTTATCAGCCAGAGACAAAATGGAAGAAATCCAGTTTGAGCAAAGAAATCTTTTTGAGACTTGGCATCATGTAATACTTTCTCCTTTCCCCTTTCTGGCTCTGATTCCCACTCCCCCTCCCCACTGTTAATGAGGGGATTCAACTAAATTTTTTCCCATCCCTGACTGTCTCATTCCATGATCCTCAGACTCTTCTAAGAGACACTTGCTCCCTTGTATGAGTTGAGCTGGGTTGTCTCTAAGGCCCCTTCCTAAAGCCATCCCCTCATCCAGCTTCCCTATTACCAGATCCTCTCAGTCACCCAGGCTCAAACCTTCTGGGTCATCCTCAACCCGCCCCCCCCCAAAGTCTATCAAATCTTCTTGCACTTGACCCATACACTCTACAACTGAAGTGCACCATCCCCTTCGCTGTTTATTCCCACTCCTGTACCTTTGCACTGACTGTCCCCATGCCTAGAATGTTCTCCCTCCTCATGTTGACCTCTAGCTTCCCTGGCAGCTTCCTCTCAAGTCTCAGTTCAAACCCCGCCTTCTTCGAGGAAGCCTTTCCTACGTCCTCTAGCCAAGAGCATCTTCTTGCTGAAATTACCTTCCATCTAGTCTGTATGGGGAGCTAGGTTGCACAGTGGATAGAACACTGGGCTTGGAGTCAGGAGGACCTGAGTTCAAAGCTGGCCTCAAATACTTACTAGCTTTGTGACCCTGGGCAAGTTACTTAACCCTGTTTGCCTCAGTTTCCCCATCTGTTAAAAGAGCTGGAGAAGGAAATGGCAAACCACTCCAGTGTCTTTGCCAAGAAAACCCCAGACGGGGTCACAAAGAGTCAGACACACCTCAAACCACTCAACAACAAAAAGTTCTGTAAGTGATTTTTTCACAGTTATTTGCATATTGTCTCACATCCATTAGAATGCAAGCTCCTTGAGAGCAGAACAGCCCTTTTTGCCTTTCTTTGTGGGTTCAGTTCCTGGCACGTGGCGAGTACATAATAAATGCTTGTTGACTGACTGACTGACTGTGCTTCCAGCCAGGATTTCCTGTGATACTGTGTGCCATCCCCTCGCTGGGCCTTGTTTTTTCCCCCTTTTCCCTCTGGTGGTCTCTGAGGGTCCTTCTAGTCCTGATGGCTTGTGATCCAATATATGCAAAGGCTAGATTTTCTCTGTATCTCTCCCCTTCCCCAGGTTACAGGGTCCTCGAATTTGGGGCTCAGAAGAGATCATATAGTCCAACCCCTCATTTTACAAGACGAAAACCAGGGGCTTGGGAGGGAAAGTGACTTGCCAACATCCATCCAGGTCACACATGCAGTAAAATCCAGGTTCAAGCCCCAAAGCTCTGACTCAACTCAATACCATTCAGCAAACACATACAAAGCACCTACTATGTGCAAAATGAGGATGCAGGGTGGCATAATGGATACTAGCTGATAAATCCTTATTGATAATTTCTAGTCAACAGGTCGCCTAGCAGTTGAAAATCCTAGGCCAAGACTTTGGGCAGCCAAGAGTCTTAATGCTTTCCTTCCAGAGTTGGAAAGTCTGTGTAGTAGCCCTCTCAATTCCTGGGCCTGGGGAGCTCAAAAGTCACACTCAAAGTGAGGATTCCCAGGTCTTTGGAGAGGCAGCATGGTAGAGTGAAAACAGTTTGAGGAATCAAAGAATTTTGAGAGTTGGAAGGGACTCAGTGGCCATCTGACCCAAACTCAACACAAAAGAAACCCCAACTACAATATACCCAACCAGCCTGAGCAACAAGGAGTTCTGGATTTGAAGCCTACCTCTGACACTTATCAGATTTGCAACCACATTACTGCACCAAAGGAGGCTGAGTTTCCTCATATGTAAAATGGGGACAACTATGCCAAAGAACTTTCACAAGGTGAAGGTTACTGAAGTGGAAGAAGAAGGAGGAGGAAGAGGAGGAGGAGAAGGAGAAGGAGGAGGAGGAGGAGGAGGAGGAGGAGGAGGAGAAAGAGGAGGAGGAGGGAGGAGAAGAAGGAGGAGGAGGAGGAGAAGGAGAAGGAGGAGGAGAAGGAGAAGAAGAGGAGGAGGAGGAGGAGCCCTGGGCTTGAAATCAGAAGAATTGAGCTCAAGTCCCAGTTCAACCATTCACTGCCTGTAGGGCCATGGACAAGTCACAACCCTTCTCTGCTCTTGCTTCCTTATCTGTAAGATGGAGGGGATACTACTCATACACCAGGGAGAGGTCATGAGGAAAATACTTAGTAAACCTTAAATTTTAATAGGGAAATGTGAGTTTTATCATTTAGTTCCCCACTAAATGGAAGAATGGAAGACACAGCAGTCCTGGGTTCCAGCACTACTTCTGATGCTTACTACCCTGTGCTGCCGTGGGCAAGCCACTTGGTGAGTATGATTATGACAATAGTTTTGGCCTGGAGACCCCCTGAAGGGTGCGCTCTCTTGACCACCCACCCCCTTTGAGAACTACTAGCTTGGATGGTTTTAAGGTCCCTTCCAGCTCTAAATCCACGGGCCCGTGCGCATGCCCACGCAGCGATCGTGCCTGCCTCTCCCCCTCCTGCTCCCTCGCCCCTCCCCACCCCACCGAGGGTCTCGGGGGATGCGGGCCCGGGTCACCCCCGCCCAAGGGAAGGAAGCAGGGGTGGGCTGCGGGCTGGCTCCCGGGCCAGCACCTGGGCCAGCTCCCGGGGCCCAGAGGGGCGGGGCCACGCACAGCGCTGGGAGTCGAAGCCGTCCCCGGTGATGGTGAGCAGCTCCAGCTCCTTGATGCGGATCTCCAGCTCGCACAGCTCGTCGGGCTGCGAGGCGGTGGCGGCGGCGGTGGGGGGCAGCCGGGGCGCCGGCGGCCCTGGGGCGGGGGGCTGCTGCGGCGGCGGTGGCGGGGGCGGCGGAGGCGGGGCGGTGCCCTCGGGGCCGGACGGCGGCGAGTAGAAGAAGCGCAGCGGCTCGTAGGGGATGGGGGCCAGGCCGGCCGGCCAGGGCTGGGGGCCCAGGCCGGGCGGGGGCGGCGGCGGCGGGGGCGCGGCGGCCGGGGGCTGCTGGGCGGCCAGGCTCCGAGCCCCGGTCCCGACGCCCACCCCGCCGCCGGCGCCTGCCACCCCCGCCGCCGCCCCCGCCTTGAGCGGCACGAAGAGCTTCTTCCAGATGTTGAAGTCGTTGAGGGGGGAGGACGAGATGCCGCGGTCGTAGAGGGATGGGAAGTAGAGGGGCGGGGCGGGCCGCTTGCTCATCGTGGGGCTCGGGCAGCCGCGCCGCCCCTTCGGCATCGTTTGAATGGGGGCGGGGGCCTGAAGCCTGCGGGCCGCCACGTGGCCGGCTGGAGGGCCGCAGACCCTCCCTCGCTCCACGGGCCACGCCCCGGGACGCGCAGCCCCGCCCCCGGACTGGACCCCCACCCCACGCGCCTCCTAGCCAGCCCCGCCAGCCCCGCCACCCCCGGGCGCGCTCCCGGCCCCGCCTTCAAGGGGCTCGCCCATCAGCCCACTAGCATTGATTAGGTGCCCGCTACGCCTACCGGGTACTGGACCACATCTGGGACATACTAAGAAAGGCAAAAACCAGATGTCGGCCCTCAAGAAGGTCGCGTTCTAATGGGAGAGACCACAAGCAAACTACTATGTACATATAAGATATGTACAGCGTGCACTGAAGGTAATCAATATTGGAAGGCATTAGCGACGAGGAGTCCACAAGGCTTGAAAGAGGACAGGGAAAGCCCGACCTCATCCTGTCTGTCCATCCGTCGAGGCTTCCTTCCCAGCTGCTTCATGTTGTACTTTGCCGATGAGGCAGTACACATCTGGATTGTTATCTCGGGTTCGGCATCCCGCTTTTAAAAAGCTGGAAACCTACACAAAGAACCTGGCTCAAACAGGCCTACTCGATGTTCACAATTAGGGATGCACCATCTCCCATCTCAGTGCCTGAGCGGAGGCTCCTGTTGCTCCCCATTCTTCTTCAGCCCAGCCCACCCCCTTTAAAACTCTAGCTTCCGGGAGAACAATTTATACAATGACCACATTATAGAGAAAAATAACTTTGAAAGACTTAGAACAATAGTCAAGACTGATTAATCATGAGTCCATAAGACTGAAAATGAAACAGGACGCTAATCTCCTGACAGAGAGATGATGTGATCTTTAGGTACAGAGGAAAACCTGTATTTTTGAGCATGATCAATGTGAGAATTTTTTTTGCTGGACTATTCTTATTACGATGCTTTTACTTTTCAGGATGTTGTTCAATGGGAAGGGGTAGTGGGAGGTACAGATCATAAATGCATGTAAAAAAATAAATATTTTAAAAATCTGTCCCTTCCATTCCCCCCCCCCACCATTGAACAACAGTGGGCTTCTCTGAAACAGATAATCCTATTTTGTCTCATAACATCAAATGCCAGAATTAAATTCAGAACGGTGGGTGGCTAGGTAGTGAGTGATTCAAAAGCATCTGGAGACATGGGAGGAAGAGTGCATGAATAACAATGCATTTATTAAATGCTTATTTCCCAAATCCTTCATTAGACTCTCAGGACACAGTACAAGCAATGTAACACATATAAAGCATACTGGTGAAGTAGGAGTGTTTTGCACAGGGAAGTCAGAAGAAATTACATTTGTAATCCATATGGCAAATGATTAAAATTTTCTTTCCAACAATTGTAGTGTTTATTTGAGTTCTGTTCTCAAAACCACAGTTAGCAAGTGTTTTTTCAAGTGCTTACTATGACCCAGACATAGTGCTTAGTACCTGCCCTCAAGAAGCTTATATTCTAATGGGCCATATGAAAATAACAGCAGATAGACAGCAATCTCTGAGGGGAATGTCCTAGTGGCTAAAAGGATAGGAAAAGGCTTCCTGCAGAAGGTGAGATTTGAGCTGAGTCTTGAAAGACTGCAAAGGAGGGAAATTGAAGGGTCGATAAAGGTGAGGGATAGCATTCAGGCATGAGGGACAACCAGTCAAAGGCAGGAGAGATCGCCAGGTGCAAGGAACAGCAATTAGGCTGTTATGGCTGAAACAGAGAGAAAAGTAAAATGTAAGAAGACTGGGAAAGTAAGGAAGGCAGGCAGGAATCAAGTGCTTTAAGTGGCAAACTTTATATTTAATCCTGAAGGTTCTAGGGACCCACCGGAATTTTTTTTTTAAATAGGAGGGCAGCCTGATCAGTCCTGCCTTTTGGAAAATCCCTTTGGCAACTGAGTGTAGGATGGATTAAAGTGGGGAAAGATTTGAGGCAGAAAAAAAAATTAGAAGGCTGTTGCAAGAGTCCAGGCAAGAGGTGATACATGAACCAAGGACATGGTGATGTGAGTGGAGAGAAGGGAACATTTATGAGAAATGTTGTGGAAGGTACAAATAACAGGATATAGCAATGGACTGGATATGTGGGATGAGTGAGTAAGAAGTCAAGGATGATGCTTTGGGAGCCTGGATGACTAGAAGTACGGTGGTGCCCTTGATAATATTAGTAAAGTTGAGAAGAGGGGAAGGTTTGGGCACAAAGATTAATGAGTTCTGTTTTGGACAGTTGAGTTTGAGATGCCTTTGGGATATCCAGTTTGAAATGTCCAATTGGTGGTGTGAGACAGTTCTAACAAGTGACAGGCATGCTCTACCATGAAATAGAGATTTTGTTGTTATTGTTCAGTCATGTCTAACTCTTCATGACCCCATTTGGGGCTTTCTTGGGCAAAGATAGTGGAGTAGTTTGCCATTTCCTTCTCCAGCTCATTTTACAGGTGAGTAAACTAAGGCAAACATGGTGAAGTGACTTGCCCAGGGTCACACAACTAGGAAGCGTCTGAGATCAGATTTTAACTCAGATCTTCCTTACTGCAGGCCTGACACTGTGTCATATAGCTGTCCATGAAACAGAGATCACCTACTGAAAGTGTGTTACATGAGTTACTGAGGAAGAATGCAATGCCCTGTATCTCTGGATTGTACAGCAGGATTCTTTTTTTGTAAATAGTATTTTATTTTTTTCAATTACATGTAAAGATAATTTTTAACATTTTTATAAGATTTTGAGTTTCAAATTTTTTTCTCCCTTCCATCCCCCTCCCAAGACAGTAAACAATTGTATATAGGTTATATGTGTGCAATCATTGTACAGCAGTTTTACCTGAGAAGGATAATAAGAGTGGATGAATGCAGATATTGGAAGGTCTTAGAGCTGTGGATTTGGCCCTGTGCCTCCTTACCCTGCATAAGCACAGAAGTAAGCCATGTTGCTAGTGCCCTCCATTAATGTCTACTAGTATGGTGTAAGAAGTGATAATAAATAAAGTGTAAGATCAGATTGTTTTTCCCGGTCTACTTATCTGACTTGGAAGCATAACTGAACTTGCCAGAAGGGAATTCCACAGGAGAGAGTATAGGAAATATGGGAACACATGGCCAGCGTATAATAACTATTCATCCAATTAAATTGATCCATCCAGACCTATTGCATTCCAGGTAGTGTGCTAGACCCTGAGGTTACAAACACAAAGAATGAAACAACCCCTACTCAAAAGGATTTTTTTCCCCTAGATTTTAAAGTGACCAGGAGTCATTTTTCAGAGACAGGAAAGTCAAGAAGAGAAGCCACTTTTGCAGGGGAAACGATGAGTTCTGTTTTTGATATCTTGAGGAGCTTGAGGTGCCCATGGGAGTGTTAGAAATGCAAGTCTGGACAGCTCAAGAGAGAGGCTGAGGATAGAGAAGTAAAGCTGGAAATTGTCCACATAGAGGTGATGAGTGAAGCCATCACAACAGATGAAATTAGCCAGGAAGAAAGTGTCCAGAAAAGAGAGAAGAGAGAAAGGGCAAAGTCTTGGGGAGTACCCAAAGATGGGGAGAAGCCAAAAAAGGAAGCAGAAGCAGTGGTCAGAGATAGGAGGAGAACCAGAAGACTAGAGTGTTACACAAGCCAACAGAATTCATGGTATGAAGGGGGGAGGGGGAGAGGGAAGTCAAGGAAGATGAAAACTCTGAAAAGGTCATGAATATCCAAGTAAGTGAAATCGGAGAGTTAGGAGAGAAGATAAAGAAAGTTTCAAGGTAATTTTTAAAATGACCTACAATACTCTCATGGATGGGTGAACTCATTGATGAGGGAGCTCCCTCCAGAGATACAAGCCATTCCTTATCAATGCCTAACAGTCGTTGGTGGCTCTTGCCCACATATTCCCTTAAATCCATCACAAAGGTTCCCCCAACATAATGCAGACTTCCTTGAGTTCTCTTGACCTTTGCATATTTGGAGTACAGTGAAATTGACTAGTTGCCGGAGGTGAATGGGTTGTGAAAGATGGTGGGAGATAAGGGTGGAAAGATAGGTTAGGACCATCAGACTGGAGCAATCTTTGGATACCAAAGCAAGGAACTATATTTGAACTTTAATCTTGTAGGCTTCTGAACAGGGAAGTGATGTGATGAAAATGATTTCAGAAAATTAGTCTGGCTGCTGTACATAGGATAGATGGGTGGGAGGAGAGCTTGAAGACAAACAGATAATAGCTGACATGAATGTAAGGTTTGCAAAATATTGGTAAGTGACATAGGTAGAATTTGAACCCAGGTCTCTCCTGCTTCTCTGACCAGCTCTCTTTCTACTATCTGTTTATACAGCAAAAGAGTAAATGTTACTATATACACAGTAACAGAAATATTGTAAGATGATCAGTCGTGAATGACTTGGCTATTCTCAGCAATACAATGATCCAAGACCACTCTGAAAGACTTAGGGTCAACTGAGTATAATCCTTCAGCGGGTAAAATGGTCATTCAGTGAAATAGAGGACTTTCAAGCATTCTTGATGAAAAGACCAGAGCTGAAGAGAAAATTTGATTTTCAAACACAAGACTGTAGTGGAACATGAAGAGGTAAACAGGAAAGATAAATCTTAAGAGACATATTAAGATTGAACTGTTTACATTCCTGCATGGAAAGATGATATTTGTAACTCATGAGAACTTTGTCAGTATTAGGGTAGTTGGAAGAAAAAAATTATATGTATGTATATATAGATATAGATATAGATAGAGGGCACAGGGTGAGTTGAAGATGAAGGGGTCATATCTGGAGAACAAAATTAAGGGGTGAGAGGATTATACTGGGAGAAGGAGAAAGGGAGAGGTAGAATGGGGTAAATTATCTCACCAAAAACAGAAAAGGCTGTTACAGTGAAGGGGAAACAGGGGAAGGTGAGAGGGAATGAGTGAATCTAGTTCTCATAGGATTTGACTTAAGGAAAATAGGGGGAGAAGGGGACAAGACAGCAGGGGAATGATAAAGAGGAGGGCAGACTGGGAAAGGGGGTAATCAGAAGCAAACACTTCTGAGGAGGGACAGGGTCAAGAGAAAGAATAGAATAAATGGGAGGGCGGGATAGGATTAAGGGAAATAGAGTTAGTTTTTCGCAACATGTCTACTAAGGAAGTGTTTTGCATAACTGCACATGTACAACCTATATTGAGCTGCTTGCCTTTTCAATGAGGGTGGGTGGGGAGGCAGGAAGGGAGAAAATTTGGAACTCAAAGGTTTAAAAACAGAGGTTTTAAAAAATGTTTTCACATGCAACTGGGAAATAAGAAATACAGGAAATGGGGTACAGAAGTCTATCCTGCTCTACAGGAAAATAGAAGGTGAAGGGGATAAGGGGCAGGGGGAGAGATAGAAGAGAAGGCAGACTAGGGGAAGGGGTATTCAGAATGCATGCCATCTTGGGGTGGGGAGAGGGGTGAGATGGGGTGAAAATTTGGAACTCAAAATCTTGTGGAAGTAAATGTTGAAAACTAAAAATAAATAATTTTTTTTAAAAAAGACGGGTAAAAAATGCTGTCCATCTCCAGACAAAAAACTGACAGTGTCTGAATGCAGATTGAAGTATACTTTTTTACTTTCTTTATTTTTCTTGAGGTTTTTCTTTTGTCTATGTTTTCTTTTACAACATGATTGTTATGGAAGTGTTTTGCATGAGTACATATATATAACCTATATAGAATTGTTTGTCTTCTCAAGGTGGCTATGGGGACGGGGGAGGGAGGAAGGGAGAGAATTTGGAATTCAAAGTTTTAAAAATGAATGTTAAAAATTATTTTTACATGTAAGTGGGGGAAAATATACTAAACAAAAAAAGAGTAAATGACCTAAGAGTTGTATTACTCCTGATTACTTAAAGAAATAATGTAGACAGGCACCCCCCCCATTCAATTATTGAAATGGGGGATGTCAACATGGTGGAACTTGAGGCTGAGTACATTAGTCACAAGATAGACACCAGCTGGACCAGACTGGCTCCAACAGACCTTCTGTTTGGTCTCATTTGTGAAATAACCAAGAAAATGCCAGGATATGTGTGGGCTCAAAGCAATGCCAAAGGCTGGAAATAAAGACAGCCCAGTTCTCTCCTAGGCTATTTGGAAACAATATTCCAATACACTCCCAATTAATCAAAGGGACTACTCTTCATTTTGGACTTAACTTCATCAGTGCAGATATGAAGTTCATTCTATAACTGTAGATATGTGATTCTTAACTCTGTTATGCATCTTTCCATTCTCCTCCTCCTCCCTCAATTAACCACAGAGCTCCT